AATAACTAATATTTGGTTATTTGTGTCATATATCTTATTTTTTTGTAATTTTCTATTTTATGTAATACAACCAGCGACGCTGGTCACAGTTGCCAATAATATGATGTCCATCATGGAAATAGCGTCCTCCCAGTAGCCGGCACTCTTCCAGTTATGGCTTACACATGTAACATTCCACATTCATTTATCGAAGGGAATAAAGCTAAAGTTCCCTTCTAAGTGCCAAATGAGTCAAATCACACTCCAAGAGGTTTGTGCACTCATGGTGAGTCATTTCCTTCACCCTGGCCTTCGCTGATGATGGCAAGTTTGCATAACCTGGCCCAGGGCAATTTTGTCCGCAGACAGGACTGTAACATCATTCGGATTGTAGGAGTTAATTGAACTGGTTATACTGTGGCATACTGTACAGGGTAGCAGTAACCAGGGAAAGTATATACTAGGACATGCTACCATTGCACCTATGCAAAGGAAATTGTTCAGTAAATGATCCCAGATTTCACTGGCGGGCCTGAAAGCATGCAGGATAAAAATGAGGTATATGGAAACAAATTAGATATTAAAAATATAAACACAATTCTGCTGACAAGAGTTAATAGTTTGAATATGGGAAGTTTATTTACTAATGTGTCACCTGGACCATAATCAGATACAAATCAGCTTCTTGATTCATCTATCAGAAAAAGTAGTGACTCAGCAGAGAAGAGCACCAACTTGAAACCTTGAATCATGGACTATAAAGCATTACATATGATGAACATACTACCAAGGAACAACTATGCCAAACCCCAATAATGAACACAAGAATACCAAAAGAGAAATCACCATTATTGTAGCCTGTATGCATCTTCTATGGAATTTAAAGAAACAAGAGACCCTGGACTGAACAGCAAGTCACAAGTGTAAAGTTCTGAGAACAAAAAAATCCCCGTATGGGCTCAGAGGATTGTACCTTATGTCACTCATTCCATAGTAGGATGGAAAGGGAGGATATAGTAGAAAAGCACACTGTCGAATACCAATAGGTGAAGATGGGGTAACTTCATTACTCCTAGACTTAAGAAAAAAGGATCTGGAAGAGCTGTGCAGTGGCCCCATCACTCCCAATCTAGCATATATAGTTTGGAGACTGCAAAAGCAGCAAAACTGCTAAACATAGTATCCTAACTCTCATATGAAAAAAAAAAATATTCTCTGTATGCCATATCAACAGAACATAGGGAGGATTGGTTGGTGATAGAGGGTTGCCATTGTCTGTTTTTCTCATATTTTTTGTTTTCCCTGGTTTTAGGATGTGAGGTCAGATGAGGTTTCTGATTGGGTTCATACCTGAATGATGAAAGATTTGTACCAGATGTTGATGGAGCAGATAATATTGTTATTTTTGTTCTTATGATATTTTCACATTTTTTGTTTCATCATCCTCTTGTTATGATATATTTCTCAGCATTGTGTTGTTTTAGATGATTTATCAATATTATGATTGCTATATCACTATTTTGTTGTTTTAATTGTATTGTTGACTTTATTGTATCGTGACTTACCATTACCACTATTACCCAACAGGGAGAACTCATTGCTGTGTGTGGTGGTGTTGGTGCTGGAAAATCATCTTTCATATCAGCTCTGCTTGGTCACATGCGTCTACAGTCGGGACAGGTGTATTTACAAGGAACATGTGCATATGTTGGCCAACAAGCATGGATCATGAATGCCTCCTTTAGGGAAAATATTTTGATGGGTGAAGCATTTGATGCCAAAAGGTGAGTTTTTCAAAGAATGTCCATTTTTTCGATGGTTTCAGTGTTTACCCCCAAGGACTAAGCATGCTCAACTGAGTAGATATGGACTTTTGATTTGTCTTTGTTTGCTCAGTTCAGTACTCTTTTTATTTTTTTATTTTTTTATTTCCCATTATCTATCTGTTTTTTCTGTGTCTCTCAACTCTCATCATCAGCTATCACAAAAGGTTAGGGAATGTATGATAAGCTTCAAAAATCTTGTCACAGGATCACTGACATGAAAGAAAATATAAGAAAGTATTATATGTTAATAGAATTTTTTTCATAGATTCATACAAGAGCAGAAGTCATTGTCCTCTTGTTGGATTGAAAAATTAGATCAGCAGAAATGGCAAATCATTTTGAGTTTAGATCAGGATGACCGACATTGGCATTTAGACCACTATTAGAACATGTTTACAGAAGGAATATGACCTGTTCTTAAAAATGTTAGGGGCTTAATGTTTTATTAAATAACTGCTTGTTGAATATAAGATTTTTTATTGTAACATGCTGGAGAACATAGACTATAGAGGCAAACAGGGTTTGAAATTATATTTTTCTTCCCATATGTGTTTTGTTTTTTCTGTTAACTTTTTGTGTCAATACAGTCAAATATGCTCTTAGATATTACCGTGTGATATATGCCTGCAACCTTACCCAAGACGTTGGAGCTATGCCTGCTGGAGATTTCACAGAAATTGGAGAACGAGGTATTAATTTGTCTGGAGGACAGAAACAACGTTTATCACTAGCCAGGGCGCTTTATGCTAACAGGTGTGTTTTTTGTTGTGTAGTGAAATCTGTAAACAAAAATATTTGCGATTTTTCTTCATGTTCATCTTTAACCACTTATTAATTTAGTGTAAACCAATTTTCTTTATGATTTATCTAGTTTTGTACAGTTTGATTATTAAACTTTTTACTTACAATTAAATTTATACCATGTTGTCTATTCCTTTTTAGGGATATCTATTTATTGGATGATCCTTTGAGTGCTGTAGATGCTCATGTTGGGAGCCACATCTTCCAGTGGGTTATCAAAGGTGCTTTAAGAAATAAGACAACAGTGTTTGTCACACATCAGCTTCAGGTACTATAAAAACTTCATTGCCTTCTTTGAGACAGATGTATGCAACAAATTGATAATTGAATACTAATTTATAACACAGAAGTGCCTATTTCTGTCTGACTTGAATTAAGTTTTTTAGCATGCAGGTTTGTATTCACCTAAAAAATACAGATTTTAAGGCAAATATTTTGTATGTGAAGTAGATTCACATACAATAGCATATGATTATTGTTTACTTTCTGTATCTTACCTATTGCTGAAGGAGACCTAAGTACTTGTAGATTATAGTTATTCTCCACTCCCAGTTACTGTTTTCCTGATAGTTAAAGTTATAATGAAGTGTGGAATCTGTCTTTAATATGACCCTTTTCCTCAATTTTCCAGTACTTGCCCCTTTGTGACCGTGTAGTCTACTTGCGTGAGGGAAATATTGCAGAGCTGGGAACACACTCCAGTTTGGTGGAGGACAACAAAGAATATGCTGGTCTATACAGAACCCATATGGAAACAGTTGAAAATAAGGAAAAGGAAAGGTTAGTACAGTGGTATTGTTTTGTGTGTTTTCTCTTTATTTTCTTTTATTTTCTTTTGGTTCCTTTTCTTTCCTTATCTTTTTTTGTTTAATTATTACCATTATTGTTCTTGTTGTTCTTGTTGTTATCTCTATGACTATCATCATTATTATAATTATGTATTTTTTTATTATTATTATTGTTATCATCATCATTATCATTTATGTTATTATTATTATTATTATTATTATTATTATTATTATCATTATTATTATTATCATTATCATCATCAATATCAGTATCATGATAATGATAATGATGATTAAAATTGTTGTTATAATAACTGTATAGTAATGATAATTGTTATCATCATCATCATCATCATTATTACTATTTTTATTATACATAATGGGATATTGTACTTTCTACCTACTGCTTATATATATCATCCATGCTCTTAATTAGAATTTGTTTACCTGTTTATTCCTGTAAGCAGCAAGACTGAGGAAACGGATGCTGGAGGACGCCAGCGACAAGACTCAGTCATTTCAGGAGGAAGTAGCATAAATGGCTATCAAAAGAATAGTCCTGAGAAAAGTCCCGTCAAAGAAGTTAAGAAGAAACCAGAAGATGGTGAGAATTTGATCACTGATATTCCAAGAATGATTTGTATTTTGTGGTGCACATTTTATGGATAGAATTTTATGCAGCTGAGAACCTAGAAGATTACCTTAAAGACTAACTCCTTTAATTAGGAAGAAAAGTAAAATTCTGAATTAGCTGATAAATTGTTTAACAGTTTTCAATTACTCCTTCAGTTTATACATAAGTTTGGTTGAGGAAATGGACTCGTCTATTTCTCTGTCATTACATAATTTTGATAACTCCTAGTTAATTAACCTGTCTTTGAAATATTATACTTAAAAGCTGTTTGCTAATATGTGTTACAATTTATGTTAGTGTATAAGTATTTGTAACACAGAAAGGTTAGACATAGCAGTGCAACAAATAGTAAAATATGCTCTCTCACAATGAAAGGCTCTTTATGCATTTACTCATTTGCTTTAGGCATTCTTGCCTTGGAAAGCTGAATTTACACTTGAACTCCATTGATGCCAGAAAAATTCACTTTTTTTTTTTTTCTTTCTTTCTTTCTTTCTTTCTTTTACACATAGATGGCTCCACAAGTACATAGTTATCAAGGAGTCACTGCTGAATCCTTACTTTAACTTTTTTCACTCTTCCATACACTATTACACTTAATATGATTAATATTTTCATTGTTATTATGTTTTGTTTACTATGGTTATCAGTGTTTTTGTCATAGTGGTAATAGCATTAGTAATGGTAAGTGGAATAAAGAGATGAAAAAAAGGAAAGGAAAGGGGCAAATAGTTAAGGTCAGAGAGTCCTAGTAATTGATTCCTTGGTGACTTCTAACTTTTAGAATCGTCTGTAATAATTACACTAACTCATAGTTGACAACATCAGTGAGTTGATACATAATTTACACAATGAAAGAGTTATAATTTTCCATTTTTAGGTGTTACCAATATATGGATATTGTTGATGATATAAAGATTTGTAACTGTAACCTTACTTTATCTTATTACTGTCTTTCTTTTTTCCCCAGCCAGTGTTTACAATGATTTGAAAGTTTTCAGATTTTCTCTATGATTTAGGACAGAAACCTCAAACATATGATAGGTATCCTACAGATATAACTCTGCTTTTCCATAGCCTTTTTGTAGCTACCACTCACAAAGTCCATATGGATTATATAAAGTAGTATAAAGTGGTATAGCTTCTGAGGGGATTTGTGCCACAAATTTCTTCCTGTGGTATCATTTGTTATAGTAATGGGTGTCTTTGGTTTGTTCATTTAGGGATCACTTAACAAACTCTAAATATCTTTTGTACAGTAATTATTGGGTAAGGGGTGTCTAATAAATCACTTATGACATAGATTTAATACCCTTTACAGACTAATTAATATGATAAGCATAGGCATTTATTCCAGTTGCCAAGAGGCTGGTCCCCACTTGTTTAACTTAATTATAGGAGTTCCTATGGAATATTCTCTTTGAAGATCCTATCTCCACAACTCCCTTGCTACTACCTTATATTTGGGTACTGACTATGTATTAGTTAGGCTTGGTCACTGTGGGAGCAGTCCATGATACTGAATCTTTAAACATGACCAGACATGCCTAATCTAGCATACACTATATTAATAAACAGCCAAGGATATTTATTGTTATACAAGTGATCTCTGATGAGATGGTAATCAAATGATGAATAAAACTATTTAAGTTACTTGATTACCAGTATTCTGTATAAATACATGTGTATTTTTTATGATTTCTAATTTATTATATTTATCACAGGTCAGCTGATCACAGAAGAGAAGCTAGAGAAGGGAGACATCCCTCTGTCAACCTATAACTGGTACATCAAGGCTGCTGGAGGTTACATTATATCCACCCTGGTGATTTTGACCTTTGCTGCCAATGTGGGCTCTACTGCTTTCAGTTCGTGGTGGCTCTCAATGTGGCTTAGTGCAGGGAGTGGAGTAAGTAGTTTTTTTTCTTTTACAATGATTATTCTTTTACCTGATTCTGAAAGACTTTATTATTATCCAGTGAAAAGAAAACATATATTTATGGGAAGTTGAATTTTATTATACCGCTTAAAAATGTGACATAATTTCTTTAAAAATATGTCCAGTGTTAGACTTTGAAGTTGATTATTCCCGTTTGATGAGGTATGATGAAAGACTGAATTGGCCATAGTTTTGATTTGTCTGCTATCATCATTCATCTTCATCAGAGCTAACAGTTATTAAGTTTATGAGAGTTGAATGATGTGCCTCTTTGTCCTTGTGTCTTTGTTTACAACTATTTTTGTAAATTTTTCTTACCACACAGATTATCAAGAGGGCACTTATGATCAGAATCCCAAATGTTATTAGAAAAAATACAAGCCCACTTTCAGGCAGTTTACAGATTTCAGTTAGATTATGTTTTTTATCTGTCTCATCAATGCAGTAAGATGTGTCAATGAACAAGTCATATATGTCAATCCTTTCCTTGTAGAAGTTGGAAAGGGTTTCATTGTTCGCATCAGTCATTTGTCTGATCAGTTGGTGAGAGTCACAATCACAGTGTCCCATGTGAAACATATTGTTTTTAATCTGCAGGTTCTTGTTATGGACTGAGTTATAGAAAATGAGAGTGCCAGGTGTAAATTCATACAAATGATTGGAGGAGAATATCAAGCTTCCTCCTTCCATCCTTGGTTGCAACCATGTCAGGCCAAATTGCTCGATATGGTAAAATGAATTTTTTGTTACAGAAACTATAGTTGAATTATTTACTACCATACTTTCTAACGCCAAGCTGTTCACTTCGTTTTCCACAAAAGTGAAATTGTAGACATCTGAATCAATTGCCAAGAACTGAAGCTTGTCAATTTTGTTGCCCAAGAAAGTAATGTAGTTTGAGTCTTGGAAGACAGCACTGGAATGAATGATCTTGATAATACTGTGCTCCAAGCTGAAGTTTTCAACCTGCAGAAGAAAGCAAAAAAAAGAAGGTATACATCAAATATTTCATATTTAGAAAATATAATTGTGCCTAAATTTAGGAATTTGTGTGGCCATAGATTCATTTTCAAGGTCTGATATGACAGTAAATCAGTTTCTGTTAATGATATATGTGGATAGGGACTTACATAGCGTGTTGACAAATTAATTTCTCCAAGATTTTCGATATTGCAGTACTTGAGGAACAAATTAGAAAGGTGATGAGTATTTTGTGTCTGAAGTAAGACACTAAAATCACCTTCCAAGGTGAGATGCTCCAGTGTTATACTTTCCAGTTTCTGAGCATGAATATCAAGTGATACTTCAGGTGGGGAAAATTTGGCGTGGGATATTCTAAGTGATCTGAAATTGCAGGGCAGGTAAAATGCATTTTTAGTGTACTCAGTTATAGATATAAAGAAATTCTTGAATTCACTGAATGTTAGAAGGATAATTAAGCAATTGTTTACTTGGAAGAAGCAATAAAAGATTATAAATCATGATCTGCAGTAATGTTCCATTTACCGTATGCTCCCTAGCTATCATTGTTTATGAAAATTATAATAATGTCCTGTATGATATTTCGTAATATGAAAGCATTATGAAACGTTCACTTATTAAAATATATCTTAACCCAATGCCTCCACATGACATGTAGTTCCAAGTCTGGCTGACTGGATCGTGGCTTCAGTTGACATGCTATTCCTGTCGTGGCTGACGGGGTTGTGGCTACAAGGGACGGGTCATTTAGGTCATGTTACTATGATGCATGCATTAGATTTTATGCTGTTTGTTAGAAGGTATCCTCATGCCCACTCATCACATCCCCTGGGGCATTGCCAGATTGAAAATAGGATATTTAATGTTCTAATTGGCGACTTTATTTACAAAAGGGGCAATTTTTAGCATAAGATCATCTGCTTGTTTCCCCAGGAAAATATCACCCACCAAAAAAATGTGCTCTGTTTGTGCTCTGTTTAAACCTTCACTCTGGTTTACATGATCAGTCTTCTTATGTCAGCTACTCTGACAATGCGATGGTCTTGAAGTATGATACAGAAAAAAGAAGCACAGAAGCACACAATCTCTTTATTTTGTTATTATAAGATTTGTGAAAATTTAAAAAATCCTAATTTTACCCTACATTCCATCCTTAACACCGTGTAACTCATTATTCATTGAAATGTACTCGATCTAGAAACTAATGCGAATGTCATACATCTCTGATTATGCAAAAACATCAATGCATTTCGAAGTCTGACATAGGCCCCAATGGCAAGCTCAGTTGGCCACTTACACTGCCCAGAGCAATAGCCAGCCAAGTCGATCCCATATTCTTCTATACTAAATTAACAATATCAGAGTTGCAAGTAGCTTGTCAGTCTGTTTTTATACATTTAGTAGACTAAAATGCTTTTCAATAGGTTATTATAGTTTGACCAGTGGTAACTTACTAGATTTATTGCTGAAACACTCATTTGCTGTGTAATGACATTTTCAATTTCAAATTGTTATTATTATTATTATTATTATTATTATTATTATTATTGTTTTTTTTTTGATAAAGAAATTAAACATCCAGTTTGCTACCTACTTGAGGTGTGTGTAATACTGATTGAAAAATTCTGGAGCCAGATGAATTTGGTCAATGTTGTGAAGATGAAGTGAATGTAGATATGGAAGCTGAGCCAGTGCTGATCCACTAAGGTGGACATCACCACATTCACCCACGTTCCATTGGGTAGTGGTATTTGGAACAAAGAAGTGATCCTCTCCACAGCTTACTGTTGAGCCCTCAATTATCAACATCTGTTAGGTTGTGATAGAGTTTTGCCATCTTAGTAAAGGATAATTGAAAAGAATATATATATATACTTTTTTTTGTCAATGGAGGACCTAATGACCAGGCTTATGATTTGCGTCTAGAAAAAAAAAAAATCACAAAGTGAATACAGGTAAATTCTATTGATATTACATTATAGTAGGCCTTTATCTGGATAAAAAAGGAAGTAACTTTATAAAACAGATAATCAATTTACCAATACAACTTTTATGATTTTCTTTCTCTAACACTTGAGTAAGAATAGAAACCATGTTGTGCATAGTTATGAAGACTGATTTCCATCATAACAGTGTCTATACACTGATTAATGAACTAATTATAGGTCAATAGAAGTGAGCATTTAGGTATCTTTTTTCAGAAATGCTAATGTTTACTGTGATATTTTAAAATCAGTTTCTACTTACATCATTTCTCTGGGAGCAAGAGCAGTTGAAAATTAAATCTTCATTACTAGAAATGTTGTAGCAGCATGGTGTTCTTATGATGTTTTCACTGGAGAGACTAAATAGAGTCAAGTGATGAACTAGTATAATAAATTTGACTGAAATTCCACTTTTTGTAAACATTGTGACTATTTCTTGTACAGTTAACCACAAACTTGTTATCTTTCAGAAGAATTAATTTTATCATACCATCACATATTTACTGAACATGTTGTATGAATAGTGCAGGAACTCGGGATGGATATCTTAATATAGATTGCTGTTTTATGTCAGATTTTAACAACAGCATTAGAACATCAGTAGTTTGATATTTATTAGACTACCAATGGTTATTATCATGGTACCAGAAGGAAGTGCAGCACAGACAACTAATAAGTAGCAGTAACAAAGGTAGACTGGAAATAAGTGTGGTGGTATTAAAATCATAGATAAGATTTGATAATGCATGTAATCTTATCAGCACCACTACCAGGATAAATGAACTCTGCTTATGTTAATGTACTACATACAAATTATATTAATGATAACAAGAGAAATTCTTGAAAGTAGGAACAGGCAAATTAAAAATGTAGGAGGTTATCTTCATAGAATGCTAGTGATAATAGTAGGGAAAGGGGTGTAGTTGCAAGAAGAGTTAGATAACTCCTGAAAGGTTGGAAATCCTTTGTAAGATATGATTGAAAAGCACTAATAAAGTAACAAAAGAATGTAATTAGAGTAACTTTGCTATCATTATTACTTATTGTTATTATTGGTGTTCCTGTTATTACTATTGATAATATTTATTATTATTCATTATTATTAATTCTTGCTAATTATTATTGTTATTGTTTATTATTAATCATTATTGATTAATTGCAATAATAATTATGATTATTATTAATTATCATTAATCTTTATTTATTAATGTTGATATTGATGATGATGATGATAATAAGGATAAGTATTATTTTTATTATTATTGTTATCATCATCATCATCATCATCATTATTTTTATTATTATTGTTTTGTTATTATTATTATTATCATTATTATTATTATTGTTATTATTATTATTATTATTATTATTATTATTATTATTATTGTTGTTGTTATTATGATATCCACTCATGATTATTCTCTATCTTCATATTTTGTATCCACACTCTTTGTGGTTAATGAATTTTATTGTTTTTATTATTATTAGGTATTGCTAATTATTATTATCAATAGTTTTTGATTGATTACAATAAAAGTTATTGTTAATATTCTTATTATTGTTAATTATTATTAACCATTGCTTATTGATATGATGATGATGATAATAACATTAATTATTATTATTATTTTTATTAATATTATTATTTTTTTTATGATATCCACTCATGATACTTCTGTATCTTCATATTTTGTATCCACACTCTTTGGCAATATTTTCTTAAAGATATGTATTAGAGGGCAGAATGATGGCACTGTGGAAATATGAAAGTAAAATATTGAGCAACATTAATTTCAACAGAACACAGAAGTGGTCGTTGGAAATGGAACGGTCATCAGTGACAACATCGCTGACAACCCTGACCTTTTTATGTACCAGACTGTTTATGGCTGCCTTATATTAGTCATACTTGGAACTTCGCTAATCAGAGGATTTGCATTTATGAAGGTATTTGATAGAAGTTACTCTATTAGTATGTTGTCATTTAACCATAATTTTTGTATTATAAAAACCTATCTTGAGCTTCTCAACAAATACCTCTCAGAATTATTGCATAAATGTAAACAATCTTAAATAGCAAAATAATTTTTTTTCCAAATAGACTACCCTAAAGGCTTCCAGCAGCATGCACGATCAAGTGTTTGTCAAAGTGTTCCGAAGCCCTATGAGCTTCTTCGACACAACTCCTTCAGGACGCATTATAAATATCTTCTCCAGAGACATGGATGAAGGTTGGTTTCTAAAGCATCTGTTTTAGTAGTAATTTATTGTGTGTTTCTTTGTATTATGGGCTAGCCTATTATTTTATCTTTTGCTTGAGCTTCTATGTGATATAATGTATGATTTTGGACCTTCTTTAGTAAATGACATATGTGATTTCAGAATCACATATGTTTTTGATAGATAAAGTTCCTTAGTTATTAAAAGTATTTTTCTTTTTCTTCTTTTCTTTCCTCCCAGCACTTTTTTCCTCTTTTACGTGTATATTTTTTCTTCTTCCACTTCTTATTTTCAGAATAAAGAATCAATAAATGAAAGATATTTTTATCTTTATTTTCCATATTCTCCAGTTTTGTTAACATAATGTATGACTATGGAGCTGTAATGTTTTAGCCCTCTTATGAATCATTTGCTGTTTGCATTTGAGTTTGTTTCTTTCTCATTTTTTAAACTAATTTCTTAAGAAACACATCAAGATAAGGTTAAAATGGTTGTTTCAGTGGATGTGCGTGTGCCTATGACCATGGAGACTTTCCTGCAGAATATTTGGTTAATCACAAGTTCACTTGTGTTCGTCTGTTTGGTGTTCCCTCATTTTCTGCCATTTCTGGTAGTCCTGGCTATCCTCTTCCTTTTTATTAGGAGCATCTTCAGGTGAGAACATATATCTTCTATTTTTATGATTTTTGTTGCTGATAAAATTGCAATGTGCTGGCAGATTGTATTATTGGCACTGCATTATATATTCTTGAATGAATCCATTATGATTGCCAACAGGATTGGAATTCGTGATTTTAAGAGGATGGAGAATGTGTCAAGATCTCCTATGTATAGTCATGTCAGTACAACCGTGAATGGGTTAGCCACTATCAATGCATATGGCAAACAGGAAATGTTTACCAAAAAGTTTGTATTTGTTCTATTTACTAAGTATATTTAAGATGAAAATACTTTTCTGTCTTTGTGATCTCCAATGAATATACTGAAACTTTTCTTCTTGTTTACCTTATGGTTATTATACTGTTGTCTCTTACAGATTTATGGTGTTATTTGATGAAAACACATGTGTCTTTTTCCTATTCAACTGTGCTATGCGATGGTTAGCTATCCGACTTGATCTTTTAGCTTGTGAGTGTTATTATGTTAAGGTTGTAAATACATTCTTAATCATAGTTATGTATTTTAGTGAAATATCTGGTTATCCTTTCCACTGGAGATTTATTTAACTTCTTATTGAACCTGCAAAATTTTTGTTTTTTCAGTGTTGGTAATGTCAATCACAGCCATTCTCTCATTGATATTACGAGGATCTGTGGAAGCATCTTTTGCTGGGCTGGCCCTGGCTTATGCTGCACAGTTAAGTGGCATTTTCCAATATACTGTAAGACTTAGTACTGAAACAGAAGCACGCTTTACTTCAGTCCAGCGGATTAGTAATTATACCAAGGTAGGAAAACTTCTTTTATACTTTATATATATGTTCTCTAGACAGTGTTTTTCTTTTCAGAGTACATTTGTTGTTAATTGATTTTAATTATATATTTTGCCTAAAGTTCTTTTCTTGCTGAAATAGCCACAAAAAATTATTTTGTTTCATAATATCTTCTACAAAATACTCTGCATCTACAGTATTAATAAAAATGACTTCAGTGTATCATGCATATTTATCTGCCACTTATGATGTTGCTTCTCTGCTTTCATGTTTATTATGTTCCCGAATCATCCCCTTTGATGATTTAACATATACGATACATTTTCATCTTTGAGTTTTGTTACACTTTTTTCCATGATATCTGGTACTTGAATTCTCCACTCAGGCCTACTATCACTTGCATTCATATTTGTGAGATAGATATTTTTCCACAGTGCTTAGCTTCAGAAGCTCCAGCTATTATAGAATCAAAGAGACCAGATTCAAACTGGCCCAAGTATGGACGCATAAGCTACCGAAATGTGCAGCTGAAATACAGACCAGACACACCTCTTGTTTTGAAGGGGATCACATTCGACATTGATTCATTGGAGAAAATAGGTTGGTGGTAATTATTTAAACATGTAATGTTTCATATATGGTATCCCTAGCCCACAGTTTAGGCTTACAGCTTTTTATACATAGAATTCTATTTGGAACTATCGTGCAGGAGCAGCCAAAAATGGTTTACAGTTCCCTTCCCTCTAAGAAAAATAATAATGTGACATAGTGAGTGTGATTTCATAAATCAAGTATTGCCTGGGCTGTTTCATCCATTCCTCTTCCTTTCCACCCCTTCCTTTTCCCACCTACCTCCATCCTCTTGCTGTAGAAGATAAATTTTCTTGCTTGGTACTTCAGAATTTGATTTGATCCAATGATTTATCTTCATTATTTCCCCTTTTCCACGTATCTTTTTAGGCGTGGTTGGAAGGACAGGTTCAGGCAAGTCTTCTCTCGGAGTAGCATTGTTCAGGTTGGTTGAGCTGGCTGGAGGCAGTGTGCGAATTGATGGAGTAGATATTTCAGTCCTTGGCCTTGAGGATCTACGATCTCGACTTTCTATCATTCCTCAAGATCCAGTGCTGTTCATTGGCACAGTCAGGTAATGAAAAGGACTACTTATATGTTTTTGGAGACTTTGCAATTGATAATTTTCATATGTAGATCCATATTACTTTACATGTGTATCAGCTCTTTAAGATACCTGGTCTACAGATGAGAGTGGCTATGTAATAACCCTTAATTTAGTTAGTGTTGTTACTATGCATTTTATTGATAATACTGCCATATATATACAGTCTAATGTTAAGTTGCAAAGATCAGCATAGGTATTTTATACTAAACATACATTAGTTCCATTTCTAATACGTTTTCTTTTGTGATTCAGATACAATTTGGATCCCTTTGAGAAATATACAGATGAAGCTGTTTGGTCAGCCTTAGAACAGACATATATGAAAGAAAAGATTGCAAATCTTCCTTTGAAACTCAATGCTCCTGTGATAGAAAATGGAGAAAATTTCTCTGTTGGTGAACGTCAGTTGATGTGTATGGCCCGAGCCTTGCTGAGAAATAATAAGGTAATACATTAACAGATATAGTTCTTTCACCATTAACTTAATGCATTCATTCTTTACTTTTATGTTAATGTGATTTGTATGAATATGCTGTGATTCTCTGATTAAACCATTTCAGATATTGTTCCTTGATGAGGCAACAGCTGCAATAGACACAGAGACAGATTCCAAGATTCAGCGTACACTACAAGAAGCCTTTAAAGCTTGCACAATGATTACCATTGCTCATAGGTAAGGACCTGAATGAACTAGAATTATGTGTGTGTTTTTATGTGTGTGTGTGTGTGTGTGTTTTTATGTGTGTATGTGTTTTTATGTGTGTATGTGTTTTTATGTGTGTATGTGTTTTTATGTGTGTATGTGTATGTGTGTATGTTTTTATGTGTTATGTGTGTATGTGTATGTGTGTATGTGTTTTATGTGTGTATGTGTATGTGTGTATGTGTTTTTTATGTGTGTATGTGTTTTTATGTGTGTGTTGTGTATGTGTGTGTATGTGTTTTTATGTGTGTATGTTTTATGTGTGTATGTGTTTTTATGTGTGTATGTGTTTTTATGTGTGTATGTGTGTGTGTGTATGTGTTTTTATGTGTGTATGTGATATATGTGTGTATGTGTGTTTATGTGTGTATGTGTTTTATGTGTGTATGTGTTTTTTATGTGTATGTGTTTTTATGTGTATGTGTATGTGTGTATGTGTGTGTATGTGTTTTTATGTGTGTATGTGTTTTTGTGTGTGTGTGTGTGTGTATGTGTGTGTGTATGTGTTTTTATGTGTGTATGTGTTTTTATGTGTGTATGTGTTTTTATGTGTGTATGTGTTTTTATGTGTGTGTGTGTGTGTGTGTGTGTGTGTGTGTGTGTGTGTGTGTGTGTGTGTGTGTTTTTGTGTGTGTGTTTTTTGTGTGTGTATGTGTGTATGTGTGTGTGTGTGTGTGTGTGTGTGTGTGTGTGTGTGTGTGTGTGTGTGTGTGTGTGTGTGTTTGTACACTTATAGAATTGCATACCTTAAATATTGTATTTTGTATGAATATTGTGTGAAGCAAGAATTACTCATTGTATCTTTTTTTTCCCAAAGATTAAACACAGTGATGGCTTGCTCTCGCATATTGGTGTTGGATGATGGAAAGGTGGTTGAATTTGATACTCCTCGCAATCTTATGGCCAATTCCCACTCAGCTTTTGCGAAGATGGTTGAAGCTGCAGAGTCATCTTTACTTCTGTAAAAGGAACTAAAGTCATCTCAATACCTCTGCATTAACAAAGTGATGTGTATATAGAAGGTTGTAACTTAATAGTCTGCATTATTTAATTACACAATTGTTGAGTGTACTCCTACTACGTACTCCAGAGGAGTGAGATTTTTCATTTTCACTTGTATAATTCTTCTATACACTTATACACACACACATACACAAATATTGTGTATACTTATATATGCTTTGATAAACAAATTTGCTTTTCAGAAAATATTACTAAGTGCCTTAGTGGAGCTTTCACATCATAAAGTAAGAGGGTCGTAAGCAAATATGGGCACATGTTTTTATTTTGCCACAATTTTTTTCTAGGGTATTTTTCAATAATTTTGATCCGCAAATGAATTTATTCTAACATTTAGTTTTGATGGATGTCATCTTGAAGTACTCCTAGCTACACTAAATTTGAATTTTGAATATGTGGGAACTTTACAGTGGAACCCTATCTGTTTGAGCCAGATTATTGAAGTCCTCCAAGTAGTGGGATATGTACATACAAGTGCAAGCAAGAAGATGAATGAATGTAGAAACGTAATAAAATAGGAAAAATGTTGTAGAAAGTTGATGAAGACAGGAGGTGAGGTGAACGTGAAGTATCTATTTGTACGTTTTCAAGTTATCATGCATCTTTTTTGGAAATAACTTGTATGACACTTAACAAGCATATATCATTAAAACATTTTGTCAGATTAATTCATATTTTAGTCTAAATTACTATATAATACCAAAGGTTAACCAAAGGTTGCCAAGCTATGATCACTGTAACTTTAGTTTACTGATTGTGTTTACACAGAGATGGCACCACAAGTACTTAATCATCAAGGAGTCTGTTATTAGTCATACCTATTTCACCTGATTACTCTTTTCCTTAATTTTTTAATAAGACTTTTTAATTATTTTTATTGTTATTAGTATTTTAATAACATGCTAATGATAATGTCAGTAATAGAAATAAGCATTAGAAAAAAAATCCTGCAAATTCAAAGAATGGTAAGATCAAGCATGTTATAAGGGGATACTAATTGACTCTTGTAGCTGAGCCTTTGTGGAGCCATCTGTGTGCAACAAAAATCAACAGTGAACTGTACTTTAAGCAGCAACCATTGAGTTATGTTTGGGCAAATAAAGGTCTCCTAGATCTGGCCACTACTTTTATTCTTTTCTTTCTTAATCAATTTTTTATTTTATATATTATATTTTTCTACTAAAAGTTTTGTACATTTTTAATGCACAATTTTCATAATCATTCTTTGTACTTTCAAGGGGGTTGGGGGGATCATTTTTGAAGGTATGCATTGTTTTGCATCTTAAAGGGGACCAAATTTGATTATGGGTTAACCTTTTCCCCAGTGATGCCGGGAAAGTGGTGTAAAAGGGGGTCTAATGTTTTAAATTTGCCGACAAAAGGGAGTGGTTATTGGGTGTGGTCATTAGAAATTAGTTGTATCTTGAAATAATACCAGTAAATTGCCACTATTGTTTTTTACTTATTTGAATATCTAGGAATTTTCAGACAAATGCCAGTTTTAGCTTCTTTTACCGACAGAAATTTTTTTAAGGGGGGTGGCACACCCCCTTTGCAGCCCTACTTTTCCCACACGAACTAGGCAGACTAAGCAGTGAGGCAACCAGGGGTCCAAGGTGTATGGAATGGTAAGATGAGATGAGTTACAGAGCCATTGACCTTTTTTACCCAAGGGCCCAGATCACTGTCAATCTGCTCCTGCCTCACAAGCTAAGAAATAACACAAGTAATATGAATTTAAATATGATTATCAAATTGAACTTTCCAAATTCCGTTGCATTTCTTTCCATGGGAATAGAAAACTGATCCTGTACAAAATCTTGCGAGAGGTTTATCAGTTTGTAAGGCCCGCTCAGAGCTTAATTTAATATTAGAGATTCTTTTAAAGTTTTCTTTATCAATCCTTCTTATTGATCCTCACCTTTGTTAATTGTTTTATATCAGTGCTTTTCTTTGGTCTTAGAATATGCTTAAACCAAAGATAAAATGTATTGCAATCTGACAGCAGCTTTCTACATTTTGCTTTTAGAATGCCTTTTGCATCTTGAATAAGCATCCTGTTTGAATCTTAGCAGACCATGGGGATGCCAACCTTTTTATATGTAATAAGTGTCCTTTGAATTATGAAAAGGACACGAACTAAGTATTTGCTGTTAAACAGCGTAATTGTTAACATAACTTTTTTCAAATATATGTTAAAAGAAAAGTACAATTATATAGCTTGTACAATTATTATAGCCATTACTTTATTATCACATTTGTACCATGGAAATTAAGAAAATTAGTGGATCATAATTTGTTAAACTACCTGTAAATTTAGATAAATGCATTTAATCAGATATGATTAAAATATATTGTGATGTATCTACTAGAACAGGAAAAATTTTTGTTACTTGATTAGAGAATGCAGGGATGCTCACTAGCAATAGTAAGGGAATTCTTACTAAACATAGCCTGAAAAGCCATTCACACTAGTTATTTTTTACAGTTCACCTAGAGAATTAGGGATTTTATTTTTGTGCAGAGTTTTTCATAAAAGTTATGCATAATTAATTTTGCAAGCTTTTATTGGTATATTAATAATCACCATTTGTATTGATATCCAACAAAAATGTTAATAATGTACCTGATGATGGCATTACTGTTACTTTATTTCATGATTAAAATCAAAACAAAGAAGCATATCTATGATTTACATAGTTGTCAACATAAATGTCATTAACAGGCATTTTATTTTTAAAATGTTTGTTAAATATTACTAGCTGTAGAAAACATTATTGTACCAACATTTGCAAAGAAAATTTAGGCATAACATTTTGTTGTTATATTTTAATATGATTATGAAATTGTTAATGTATGTGACTGCATTGTATTGTTTAAGGTTATAGCTTCTATTGTTGTTAACTTAATATTTAGAGTGTCAATTTCATATTCTTTACTAGTGCCTTGCTTTTTACACTGTAAGCCATCTATTAAGATCATTTGTTCTTAAATATTCACACTGATGGAGACTGATGCCATTGATTACATTGTTACAATTCCATCACTTTTCATAGAGGTGAGAATTGTAAGTTGTCATTAAGTTTTGATTATGAGGTGTCCAAGTTTAAAATATGATTCATAAAGCTTTTACACATGATATATTTTTATCAGTGTGGCTGTGAATTAGCCTTCAAATTACTAGATGTTAATAGATGTTTGGAGTGTACCTGAAACAGTCCAATATATAAATGAATTAAAATATTATACATGTTGGTGATGTTGCTTCTTAAAGAGAATGAGAAATTTCCTAGAACATTCATATGCTTCATATTTAGTGGAATATCAACTCAGGGCTGTTGTTTTACTTGTGTGCAAGTGTACAGGATGAGCAAGACATTTAAAGTACTGTGCCATGAAACTCAAACTTGTTTGTTTTATTCCATTAACTCTCAACTCTTTTTTTTTTTTTTTAGAAAGTTGAACGGTTAAGTGTTTTCCATATTCAGAGTTGTATTTAGGGTTGTGTGTATTTTTAGTGTTTGTTATTTGATATACGATGTATATTCTCAAAAAGATAATCCCATATGCCAATATATGATGCACTTTAGCAAGTTCTGAAGGTTAAATAAAATCCTTCAGTTGTTAGTCCTGTGTTGTCAGTGTCAAAGGAGTGCTTGATTTTTAAAACCTTTGATATTTAATGTTCATATGAAATCTGCAGTTTGTTATTTATGAAATGAAATTATGATAATGCTCAGGCTGTGAGACCAAGATCAATATTTTCTTACTTTAGAATTACTGCCTTCTAAAGGGTGCCTGTTATATATATTACTCCCTACCCCTCAGAGTGACCAAAACATAGACAGTAATACATTTTCCTTGGATGAGGTAAAGCAGAAAAGATACAAAGAAAATGTAGTCTTATATTATATATTACGGAATGTCAAATGGCACTATGACCTGAGGGATGGACAACTTTCCAAAACTAAAAAGGAACTCTCAAGACTTATTTCTCCAGACATGGATCTACATATTTATGGTATATTTAACAGAATTATTCTGTTAGAATGGTTGACATATGTGAATTTGCCTTTTATCTTTAGACTATTTTTTCATTGTTAGCAACAGGTAAATTGTTCATGTCCTGTGAATATTATGTAATTAATATATTGCATTTTTTACAGAAATCTTATTCAGTAAAGTATTAATTTTCATTAAATGTTTGCTCTTTGGAAAGATTTGAATTACAAAAGCATTTTGTATAGCATTATAAACAGGATAGAGGGTTATAATTTTAGATTTATCTCTTATGAAGGAAAACCACACTGGTGAACAGAGTACAGTAAGATTACTATTTGAATAATTATGGTTCAGTTTGGAATTTACAGGAACTGATGCACACTTTAAGTAAGTACCATGCTAAATGCCTTTGCTAAACTTTGCCTTGCCTAAATGAGAGGGAAAGCTAAGAAGCTACTGTATTTGAAAATAATGGTTAAAAAATCCATAGCGTAATAAAATATTGCAAATCAGTTACAATATTTCTCTTACCCTGAATAAGTTATTATTGATTTACTTAGTCATGTAAATAAATATATGACTGCTCAAGACATTTCCTGGAAGTATTAAAAGTATCTAACTTTCCTGGAAATGTTAAATTACTTAGTCCAGTATTGCTGCAATGTAAGAAGTCTTCTATCGTTTCTCTTATTTTGTGCCATTTGTTTCAACACCTGAAGTTTTGTGAGTGACACAAACTAGTTATTCCCTTACCATAGCCTCTTAAGATTATGCCTTGCAGTTTCCAGCAGTAAAATACCTATGCTGGTCCAGTTGTGTAAAGAATAATGATTTTCCATACCCACTGAAAATTTCTGTCAGGCATGTTGAGCTCTGTAGGTAAACAGAATAATAAAAGACTATATTCCTTGCATATATAAAGGACTAAGGAGAAAAATAATACTATATTGCTAAAGATAATGCTTGATAACATATGAAACTAATAAAGACCAGTAATATTAGGGAGGTCTAAGAAAGTGATTGGGGAAAATATGCAATTAAATATATTTACCAAATGGTAATGCAGTAAATAATGTTTAATATTTAATGTTTGAAAATAAATGTGCTAGACATCAAAGGTCATATAGCACTATGGTAAATTATTGTGTTGGAAAGGGTAAAGGAGAGTTAAAGATTACGATAAAAAGTGTTAGATGTCAAAGGTTTGAGAACGTTGTAGAATAGTATGGTAGTGAAAAGGGAAAAAAAGGGGACAAGTGAACTAGAGCAGAAATTAGTATAAAGGGGAGAGTTAAGGAGGTAGGGCAATTGAGTGAATTATAGTGTATCTGTCACTAGGGAAGGTATAGGAAAAATGTTCAAGGAAGAATAGGGATAGCTGTTGAAGAGTAGGCGAAGAATCTGGGGAGAGGGGAAAGTGTTAAATATCAAAGATTGGATTAAATGAATTGCATTGTATCTGTGACTGGGAAAAGAATAGGGATAATAGGTGATAACGGTACATATGGTGGTCTTAGTAGTAGGGGATTAGGTCTCTGAGGGTTGAGATAAAAGATCAGGAGTAGGTGAAGGAGTAGTGTCTGCAAGTTTGATAGGGAAGGTGGGGTCTAGGGAAGGGTATTGTGATAAAAGAGATTCCTGTGTGTATCCAGGAGGGATAGTGGGGAATGATTGGGTTTTGGGAGGGGCTTTGGTCTGGGTGGTTTGGGTAGTTGAGAGGAAGAGATATTTGGAAAAGAATGACGTTTTATGGGGGCCTTTGGTTTGGGTGGTTGAGAGGAAGAGATATTTGGAAAAGAATGGGGTTTGAGGGGGGGTTTGGGTGGTTGAGAGGATGAGGTATTTTGGGAAGGGGTAGGGGGAATATAAGGTGGTAGAGTTAGTGAGTGAATGGTAGTGTATCTATGACTGGGGAAACAATAGAGACATTGTTCAAGGAAAACAGAGGTGGCTCTTGGAGAAGTAGGAGGAGAAGGTAACACTGCACTGCCACCGCATCATTTTCACCACGGCAGGAAAGAAGGTCATTTTCACAGTCTGTCCAGTCCTTGTTATACATGTGGGAATTTGGGGGAATAGAAACAGTTCCAGTATAAGTATTAAGAGAGGAGTGAGGTTCAACAGGAATGGGTTTACCAGTGAGGTCAGTTAGGGTAGATAGTGCATGAGCTTGGGTTTCAGATGTAACCGTGACAAGACATGAACAATCAGAGCAACTGCGAAATGTAACCTTGCCTACTTGTTTCTGGAGACACTGCTGAAAGAGAAGGGTATTCTCAGAATAGGGGGCTGTGGGGGGAATCAGAGGTAGAGGCAGTAGAAGGACAAGAGCAAGAGGAAGGTGGGGGAAGGTGGGGTGGTGTGGAGTGGAGTAGTTCTGTGGGCGAGAGGACAATAAGGATGGAGAGTAGTAATAAGGGAAGAGGGGGTAGACATTGAAGAGGACTGTGTAGCAGGAGATGAAGAGGAGAATGTTGGGGAAGAGGAAGGGGTGTTTTCTAGAGGTTGAGTAATAACCTGGGCGGGTGTTTTGAAATGGTTAGAGTTGTTCGTAAGTGTTGAAGAGGGGGTATTAGTATCAGTGGTTGGAGCCATGGTCAAAGGAGGGGCAGGGGTCAGAAAACCATCAAAATCAAATTCAGATAGGCAATTTGATGAAGGGGTAAGCGTTAATGCCCCTATTAAGGATAAAGAATCTTCATTATTGGCCATGGAGAGCCTGAATAAATGGGAAAAGAGACGGTCTACCCCTCAGGGTCCCCATAAGGGGTAAGGGCTAGGTAATTTATCAAGGGAATACTGAGCCCATGGCTCCCAGAGGCCGTTCTTGACTGCCTTTCATCCTTTCAGCACGGTTCTCACACCTTAGGAATGGGATAGAAGAAGGGAATAAAGAAGATACAGAACAAGAGTGAAGAGAAGAAAGGACCAAGCAAAATTAGGTAAGGCAAAGGCTGATGCCAAAGGTAGGGGTGTTCCCCTACATTGGGTCTCAGTCCTCGTCTCCTAAGCCCTCCCATGACAACAATGAGGTACGTTTTGGGAGGCTGCAGTAAATAAGACTGGGCTATCTGAATAAGCAAGAAGGGACCTATTAACTAATATATTTTTCAGAATTATTAATCTTAATATATCTCCACCTACTCCATTTACCCATTAAAGACAATTTGGTAAATGAAGTAACAAAAACATATTTCTATATGTTATGCGCTAGTTTCTTAGGAGCACATTAAAATATAAAAATTTACAATATATGTTCCCCACTGTGTTCTACCTAAAATTCTATTATGAAAATAAGTCAATGTAAACACTACAGTTTAATGCAATATAAACATAATAATTTACATAAGCACAGATGAGAGATCTATGCAGAATCATGTTAAAAGTGCAGTAAAATACTTGTTAAACAGTAAAGCCTATAAAATATGTCATAAGAAAAAGAGATCAAGAAGTATTAATTCCATTCTAAATAAATACATCCACACTAGTATTTCCATACTTAATCACATCACAATTCATATATAATTTTCTGGTACTTGAAAAGCATAATCAAACACATTAGATTTTTTCCACCTTTTACTAAGGCATAGACCACATAAAATGATAATAAATCAATTCCCAGACTTCATCAAAAAAATATGGAATGTTTATATATATACATAAACTAAAACATGCTATCATTCCTAAATATACAAAATAATCTGTATATTTACAAGTATTTATTTGCATTTAATAAAGCCACCTTGTTTTAACTGCACTATATTATACATTTTGAATATCATTTGCTATTTTTCATATTTTTCACTTTCATGCATGTAATTAAATTCACAGAGAAACATGCATAAAGGCCTATTCAGTTATAAACAATGCAACTGGAAAAAGAACGTAAGAGTTGGCTAGAAATACTAAAGACAAAAGGGCTGAGGGTCAGCAGAACAATCTATGGATATATAAGACAACCAGGACTGACCTTAAGTGGGACAAAAGTACCTGAGGCAACTGAATTGAAAAATCTTAGGTAAACTATACAAACTGACAAGATTGGAGAATGTAGTAAAAAAACAATCTAATCTGGATGGAGAGCTTGGAAACACTGGGTAGGAGTATTGACAAAGAAAATGCCATTTAGACTAGTTGATTGTATCAAAGCTGCTTCTACCATTGTCCTTTATCATAGGGCCTTATTCTTTATGCACTGAATAAGCAATATAGCAAAAAGGCCATCATATTCATGTGTTTTCTTATTCTTCCCTTTGTCGTTTCATTTACAATTTGTTTAGCATGAATCCTAAACACACATGCAAGCATCCCCCTAAAATGGTAAATGATGGATGGTTAAAAGCAAATAAATGTGCTACACATCAAAGGTAAGAAATAAGAGAAAGAAGAATTTTGAGAAGGAGGATGGATGCTAGCAGTCACTTTTTTGGGGTTATGATTAGAGTTTTGAATATACTCAAGAGTTTGTGAGGTTGGTTGAGGAGGTCTGAGAAACAAAGGTTTTCTTATGACAGAAAGAAAAAAAGACAGACATTTGAGGAGAGGATGCAGAAGGAGATCAGGTGGAATGTTCAAATTCCCTGAAGTGATGGGTTGAATGAGAAGGGGTAAGTACCAAGGAAATAGAGGCTAAAATGTTTGGATTTAGAATGGGAGAGGGAGGGGGTAGAAGTGGGAACATTAGGAGTAATAAGATATACTGGGGGGAGATAAAGAAATAGGGAAGGGGCAGAGCAGAGTAGGGAGCAAAGAGAAAGACCTTGTCAATGTGCTTACTGGCTGCTCTCACATATTGTGAGGCTCAGTTTGAATTTGAGAACTGCTATCTCAGACTCAAACTTGTAGGCAAGCAGCTCCTATAAAATACATTATGGGAGCCACCACAATTGGCACACAATGTGACTGTACAGGGCAGTTTGAACGATCATGGCCTGAGGGGGCATATAGTGGGCAGTAGGCTGTGGAGAATCAGTATTTAGCAGGATGGCCAAAACAACAGCATTTCTCACACTGATGGGGAAGGGGTCAATAAGGTCGGTCATGGTAGGACTCCATCAATATATACTTTATGGGGGAGGCCAAGATTACGGAAGGTAATCTTGACAATATTGGTGTAGGACTTTTGGCGACCTCTGAGGGGAACAGTGTAACACTCCTGGGCCTGGATTCGCTAACGCACTTACGATGGTAAAATCATTGGTAACTATAGTTACCATAGTAACCAGACCGCGGTGGTAGTCATTAACAACTTGCCATCGAGTTGCCATGGTAAACTTTACCAGTGGTCGGAGCACTTCTTGGAAGACGATGTCATCACGTGTTATCTCATCAAAAAATCAATATCTAATCAAAGTTTTAGGTTTATTTTTACACCTGATTTAACTAATATGATGGCAAACACATATCGCAATACAGACATAGTACAGAAATCTAAATTTCACATGAAACTAGCAAAAATAAAATCTACACAAATTCTCGTAAAATTATAGGCCTATATTATACTAGAATGCATG